TACTTTGGAGTGGGGGAATGGCCCCCAAAGCCTCCCTCCTTTAAGAAGGCTCTGCATTAGGTTTATTCTGACCAAATATGGATCATACATGGATTGCTGAACTAGCACGTGATCAGCAACAAATCTTTTGCAAGTGTTCGTTGAAGAAATATTGGAGGGACGTTGAGGGAAGCCTCAAGTATGTGGTCAAACATTCATTTCAAGGAAGAAGAGCAAACCTTTAATCCAGAACAACTAAAGCAATTCTCCCAGCTTAGAACCTGCCAACAGCCACTGACTGGTGTTGAAGAAGGATTCCAAGGAAGAGGTTTTTTGCCCCGTGTCAATCAACACAAAAAAGCGATGAAGAGTGGGAGGAACTTTAGCGGAAAGATGGATATAAGACATGACTGGTAGAAGAGTACATAAGAAGGGAGGGAGCAAGTTAGAAAAATACGTTTAAATAAATCCAGTGTTTGTAAACCGACTCATATGAGAAGAGTTCTTCACTCCCCTTACAGCCTCTTACCTACCCCATTAATGCATTTTGGAGAGTATTGTATTTCTTGGAGGCAAATGGAGAGGGCATAAAACAAGGGAAATATTACTATTTATAATAACGCTATTATTTTCTGTGCTAAAGGTTTTGCAAATATGTCACACGCAATGACTCTGTAGTGTGCGGAAGCTGCAAAAGTGAAACCTCTAATCCCCATTCTCTTTTAAATGATGCATTTATTTGTTCGCCTTAGAAGAAAGCAGCGTGTAGACACTATTCTAATTGAAAACGTGCTTATCATGCCGTGATGCGATGCGTTGTTTCCTACCTTATTTCCTGCAAAGAAAAACAAAAGAATAGAAAAAGAAGGGGGGAAAAGAAAACAAAACCATTCGTGTATGCATATAAAGGTTTTGCATTTCTGAATACAGGCATATGAAGTTTTACATAATAGTTTTAATAAAGGATGCCCTATTTCGTTTGTCCATAGATCATCTTTATTATACGCAAGGCAAGGTTGATCAGCTTCCCTTTTAACGTGTTCAGGATGTTATATTATTCAACATGAATTGAACATTATCAACTAGGCACTGAAAATGAAAGAGCAAGACATTCCTGTTGCAAGAGGCTTTTTAAAATACTAATGGTGAGTGGGACATCTAGCGGCTGACTCTGGAAAAATAATTCTGGTTTTAGCTTTTGAAGATTTCATCCTTTAGTATAGCAATCATTTGACATTCTTACAGCCAACTCCTGTACAAATGTAACTGAATATAAGGGCCATAAAGTAGTTTCTTTGTTTTTAGTGCAATATATAAACCCAGCCATTTCACCTCAGTGTTACTCATACAACAGGCTACTATGGTTTAAGAAATTATGGTTTAAACAAATCCTGGCTTAGCATAACAAGCCCAGTGAATGAGTTAAACCCCCTATATATAGAAGGCTGAATTGGAATAATTCATTACAGATCTCCCAACCAACTCCCAAAGGGCAGGATGAAGCTAAATGAGATTTTGTTGTACAAGTACATATACAAATCTTCGCCAACCTATTGCCTTCTGTATATCTTATTCCTCCATCTACTACTACTTTACTAAAATTACAAGTACTTGAGAACATGCCCAATGAAGATAGGTAGTAGGAATTTGGGATATTCATTTTGAAGAAAAGAAGATTTAGGGGAGACATGATAGCTATGTTCAGATACATAAAAGGAAGCTACAGAGACAATGGTCAAGAACTATTTTTCGATTGCGAGAATGTACAAGAACAAGTCTGATAAATGTTGGAAGTGTCATCAGAAGCCCGGCACATACTACCATAATGTCTCTGGTTTAAAGTCTATATGTTGTTTTGTCATTTTTTCCAACCATGTGATGTCTCTGGTTTAAAGTCTATATGTTGTTTTGTCATTTTTTCCAACCATGTGATGTCTCTGGTTTAAAGTCTATATGTTGTTTTGTCATTTTTTCCAACCATGTGATGGCACAAATGATTGGTAACTGGCTGACACACGGTTTAAAATGGAAGATGGTTTTTTATGCTTTTTATGCTATTGTTTGTTTGTGTTTGTTGTAAAAAATAAAAAATTTACTAAAAAAAAAGAACTATTTTTCAAGGCCACAGAAACTAGGACCAGAAATAAGAGGTATATTGCAGAGCTATGTAGATTTCATTTAAAGATAAGAAAAGCTTCCTGACAGTCAGATCTGTACAACGTTGGAAGAGTCTGCCTATGGAAGTTGCGGAATTCCATCTCTGGAGGCTTTGAAGAAAAGTCTAGTCAGCCACCTCTCAGGGATGGATTAACTGGTTTTTCTGAAGAGGGTTGCGCTAGATCAGAGTTCCTCAACCTTGGTGACTTGAAGATGTGTGGATTTCAACTCCCAGAATTCCCCAGCCAGCCATGCTGGCTGGGGAATTCTGG